AAAACTGGCTGAATGCCAGTCCAACTCCCATTACGTGTGGTAGCCCAAGCTAATTGAGATCATTTTAACATGAGAAGTACAGACTTCTCAAATTTCGTGTTCAGATTTAGAAAAACATATATGCAAAATGAGTATCACTTCCTCTCCAGTGGGAAAAAATGTAGAATCACAGAATCAAGAGCCAATCCATCAAGAATCAATCAATCGCAGAATCAAGTTGAGGTTGACTGGGCATTTGAGGTCACACTATCTGCCCCTGGTGTGGCTGGGATCCCCTCTCCAGCGTTTCTGACTCATGCCCCTGGTCTTCCACAGCTGCTGCCCAGGGCTGAACGGAATGTGGAGTCAGCCCAGGCTCAGAGGCTGGCCACACAGACCCCTCTCCTCTATGGTCCCTCAGAGGAAATTAACCAAACCCAGGCTGGACCAGATCCTCCCTATGACTAGCCATGACCAAGGTAGCGAAACTCTGTGTTTCAGCGTCATCAATGATCTCAGCCCTCTGGATCTCACAGGGACATAGCTAGATGAATGAAATCTCTGTCAGTGTTCCAAGAAACACATCACAAGAATTAGGCCATATTCTTTCTTTTAATATTTAAAAAAGCAGGATGGAGGGCCGACTCATGCCAGACAGAAATGAGGCTGCTGCATGGCCAGATATGGGGACTCAAGGCCAGGGCGATGGCTCTCTAGGAATTCCCAAACCCACTCGAATCAGGGTACCTTAGTGCCCCCACTGGGGGAGACCCCAGCCATTGCCAGAGCCCACTGATTCTGAACCGTGCTGGTCGTTCCTTTAGAGGAATTAACTTGAAAAGCAAAGGACAGCTGCCATTGTCATCAGCTAGTCCCTGTGTGGGACGTCCCCTGCAGATGGGGGAAGGAGTGGGAAGAAGGGCATAATGCATACTTACCCTGGGGGTTGGCATAGCAGAGAAGGCAGGGCTTGGTAGTGGAGGGGACAGGCAGCAAAACAGAGACTGGGGGATACATCAGCAAGACCAGGATGCCAGTTCTGCTCAGTCATGAGTGAAGGGCGTGATGGAAGAGGGAGGCAGCCAGCAACAGGGAGGTATGGCCGTAGACGACTTGAAATTCTTGATGATTGGACCCAGCCCTCTGAATATGGAGGACCTGATAAATATTTTGAGAAAACAGAGTTGGCTTACACTCACCCCCAACACCTGGATTATCTGAAGTTATTAACTAAGTATCTTAAGTGCTTTCTCTCTGGAGAAAAGGGTGAGTCACTGGATTGCAACGTATAAAATCAGACACTCACAGGTGCTGCAGCAGGAGGCTCTCCAGTCCCCTCCTCTGCCTCGGGGCAGACATCACTGGCCTCTCCTACTCCTCAGGATCCCTGTGCAAGGCGATTCATCAAATCTCCTGACTTGCCCAGGCCAGCAAGGCACCACCTGGACCCAACGGAGGTCTTAGTGGATCCACCGTGTTTTCCCGAAAATAAGACCTACCCATAAAATAAGCCCTAGCAGGATTTCTAAGCATTTGCGCAATAGAAGCCCTACACCCAAAATAAGACCTACTGATGGGCATGGCTACGCAGTGTATCTGCACAAGCCATGCATTTTGTCATGAAGAGATAAAGAAGATGAGCACCCCTTCTCATCTGCCCCATGAGAGCTCGACATGAGATATTGGGGCCAATGGTTCTAAAGGAAATAGAGTTGCAAGAAATTCAGGATGGAATTCGGGGTTTGGAGAGTTATGATGATGTTCCAGAAGAGGATGACTTAACTATATTTGAATAAATGTAGATTGTTGTACTGTACTTAAAAAAAATAACACATCCCCTAAAAATAAGCCCTAGGGTGTCTTCTTCAGGAAAAATAAATATAAGATCCTGTCTTATTTTCGGGGAAACATGGTAGCTTTAATGCGTCTGCTCCATCCAGTGGGGGCCTGACTCCTCTTCATGGGGTCAGTGAAGTTGGGGTGGGCAGGGCCCTCCATCACCTGTCCATCACCATATGGCGTCTACACCTCTATGGGTCTGAAGTCCCCTTTTAACACAAAAAAATTGTACTGATCTCCACACTTGTCAGAACTTATACTTTCAATATCCTTTCAGAGTGTATATTTTTACCATGAATTCAGCAATACTTTTAAGTAAAAATGCAATTTCTAATCACATACTTTGGGAAATGGTAATACACATGAGTGAAAAGACATAGTATTCATTCCAGCTACAGACACTTGCGTACAAGTAGGTTCTTGGAACCCTTGCAGCACTGACAGAAGAGCAACCCTAACTGGGGCCCTTCAGCCTCCACTCTCAAACTCCTGCCAATGGGCCTGGGTAGTCCTGGGTTCGAATCCTGACTCTGCTTCTTACTTACTGTGCAATCATGAGCAAGTTATTAAAACCCTCCAAGCCTGTTTTCTCATCTGTAAAATGGAACTAATAGCAGTCTCCTGTGATTAACAAGCCCCTCACCCAAGACTAGAACTAATTCTTCCTCCCACCCCCCCCCAACTTCCATAGCCTTTGTTTCTAACTCCCAGGGTCACTCATCTATCTTTGTGGTTATCAAGTTATTTATGTGCATGTTTTTACCTAGATATTATTGAAAGTAATTGAAAGCTCCTTGAAAGCAGAGTCTAATTCTTGCACAGACTGAACACTCAATAAATACTTTTTCATTCATTTAGTCAACATTTGTTAAAGAGCTACTCTATGGCAAGCACAGTGGCCCTGGGATATCAAGATGAATAATGTCATGGTCCCTGCCATCAAAGAAGTTATAGTTGGCCGGGTACAGTGGCTTACACCTGTAATCCTAGCACTCTGGGAGGTAGGCAGATGGCTCCAGATCAGGAGTTCAAGACCAGCCTGAGCAAGAGCAAGACCCTGTCTCTACTATAAATAGAAAGAAATTAATTGGCCAACTAATATATATAGAAAAAATTAGCCGGGGCTGGGCGCGGTGGCTCACACTTGTAATCCTAGCACTCTGGGAGGCCAAGGCGGGCGGATTGCTCAAGGTCAGGAGTTCAAAACCAGCCTGAGCGAGACCCTGTCTCTACTATAAAAATAGAAAGAAATTAATTAGCCAACTAATATATATATATATATAATATATATAAAATTAGCCGGGCATGGTGGCTCGTGCTTGTAGTCCCAGCAACTCGGGAGGCTGAGGCAGTAGGATTGCTTGAGCCCAGGAGTTTGAGGTTGCTGTGAGCTAGGCTGATGCCACAGCACTCTAGCCCAAGCAACAGAGTGAGACTCTGTCTCAAAAACAAACAAACAAAAACCTGTGGATTAAGGCCAGGATCCACTCTCCTGGACTGTTCTGGAAATAGAGGCCAACATGAGTGCTTTTCCTCTTTTATGTAAAACAAGAGTCTTTTTATATCAATAACAAACACAAACACACTCATACGGCCATTTGCCTACAAATACAAACACATTTATTCTAAGACATGCCTGCATACGTAATCCATGGCCTGGCTTTGCTGCCTTATTGCTGAGTTCAGCCGAAGGGCCCCGAGAGCCCAGGCTGCTCAGGCTGTCTGCACCCACCCTCCCAGGCGGGGGCATGGGAGACGCTTCCCGCTCCCCCCCCTCCTCGCCCCTCAGCGTGGCCAACACCACTGCAGCCTCCTGGGGTGTGAACTTGAGAAACTCTGCCCCTGCTTCCAACCCCTTAATTCCTCCTCCTCACCCCAGAAACCCAAAGAGCGAGCCAATGCAGCATTTTCCCAGGGGAGGGGTATCGTGGTGAGAAGAAATCAGAGATGCCTGACTTCCTGTTCTGACACACGGGCTCAAAGAACCCTGAGACAATGGGGAGATTAGGACCAGGCTTGAGAAGGACAGAGCCAGCCCAGGGAGCGGCTGCTCAAGGTAAAAGCCCTGCCCAGAGAGCACAAACCCCTGAGATTAACCCCTTGCTGCTCTGCCCCTGCTTTCCCAGAGGCGGGGCAGCCCCAAGCCTGCCTTGGGTCTGCAGGGGCTTCCTGAGCAGGGACTGGCCCTGGGCAAACCAGTGCCCTTCTCTCTGCACACAGTTAGGCCCCGTGGGCACTGCACTGCAGAAGTCGGAGTCTAGAGGAACTCCCTGGCAGTCAAGGGAGGGAGGCAACAACCGGGTGGCCAAAAGAAAGAGTGGATTCTGCATCCACAGTAGCAGGGATTTAGGTCAAGCTGCACCCGGGGAGCTGGGAAGTCCTTCTCTGGAAAAAGGGTGATCGCGCTGCTCCAGGTATCTCAGAATGAGTCCAACAGAGAAAAAGGGTGTCCTTAGAGGCTCTACTCAGACGCTCCCCCTGTCTGTCCTCCCCACACCCCTGTAGTCAGGCAGCTGCTCCAGAAGACCTGCCTACCTCCGCCACTCTCCTGCCACTCAGGGACAGCACTCGGACACATCCCCAGGTACCCTCGAAGAGGCGGGAGGGTGAGCAATCCATGAAAGCTCCAGGAGAACTACATACTTGCACTCCTCCAGCCAACAACCGTGACCTTGTTGACTCTTGGAACAGATTCCGGAAAGCCTTGTTGGTCCAGTGAGATTTAGCCCCATGCATGGAAGTTCACAAACACAGGAGGCCTTGCTAGACACTGAGTATAAACACTCTCGTAATCTCCATAGCCTCTTGCTCTTTGGTAAACGGAGACCCCTGGACTGCCTGTCCTCACACCGGTTACACACCACCCACCTGCAGACTTGGGCACCTTCCCTCCAGGCTTCCTCCAGGATCAGCACTGAGATGGTGCTGCCCTGGGTCACCCTACAGCAGGCAATGCTTGTTTAAGTGCTGGTCTTGAGCCTGTACACTGCCCCGTAGGCAGCCTGCAGCCTCTACACACTCACTTCTCACTCGATAATCTGGGCAACCTGAGAAATGAGTGGATGACCTTGATCTGCATAGACAGATCCTTCAGACTCCCAGTACCTACTTTCACCGAAATTATCTGGTTATACAGGATTCTAGAGACTTCTCCCCAGGGAAAAAAAGACACTTGCTCGGAATGAATGACAAAAGCGTTTTATTGAAGATTCACCTGAAGATGGAGAGAGGGAATGAGAGAGTAGAATGAGGCACTGAGTGGTTCTTGTCCTAACCTTGCGGGGCCAGTTGCAAGGAAATGGACAATGAGTTTGGTCTGGTATAGATGAACATCCAGGATCTGGTGGGAGATGGCATTGGAGGGGACATATGTGACCCTGATAATTCTGGAGATGAAGCTCCTGGTCATTTTCTCCTCTGTCTATGGCAGGTGAAAAGTCAGCTGACACCCATCCCATTCCAGGTGGGTCTCCAGGCCCAAATCAAGAAAAGGCTGCCAAACTCCAAGAGGACAGAGTCCCTGTCCCAGCACAGAAGATCATCCTGGAGCAGAGAGAGCCCAGGGGAGAGTGGAGGTGGCACTGGTAAGACAAGCCGCAGGGTAGGGAGTAGTGAGGCCAGGCAAAGGGAGCAAAGAGACACCAGGGTTGGGCCCGGCTGGGCTCAGGGGGCTGCAGGACCTCGTCTCCTCTACCGGTAGGATTTCTTGGTCAGGGAGGTGGTAGAGATGATCTTGCTGCTGGAACTGCCAGAGACACCACCACCAAATCCAAAGCCGCTTCCAGAGCCGGAGCCAAAGCCACCACCCAGGCCAAACCCGGAGGAGCTTCCTAATCCTCTGCCGATGCCTCCAGCACTGGAGCCACCTCCAACCATGGCTGCAAGAAAGAGGCAAAGGACACAGTTATTCCAACAGTGCCAGCGACCGGGGATCTCGGCCCAGACCAGGGTGAACACATGGCCACTGCAGGGACAGAAGGTACTTACAGATGCTCACAGCGCTCTGGCATTCTCCAGACATTCTGTGGGGAAGAGAAAGGACAGTGAGCCACAGAACTAGCAGATCTCAAGCACCTATTCCATCCTTGAGCCTCCAGATTTTAAGGACTGAATAGGAACCTGTTATCTACACTGTCCTGGTTATAATGCACCAGCACAGCACTGAAGCAAGCAGCCCAGCAGAGGCGCAAATTCAGGGCCCGGGCCTCTCTGCCCCTCTCACAAGTTCTGCCCCACCCACCTGCACTCCTCGCCCTCTAGCAGCTTGCGGTAGGTGGCGATCTCCACGTCCAGGGCCAGCTTCACGCTCATCAGCTCCTGGTAGTCTCGCAGTATCCGTGCTAGCTCCTCCTTGGCTCGCTGCAGGGCGGCCTCCAGCTCTGTGCGTTTGCTATAGGCATCCTTGAGGGCGTTCTCGCCTCGCTGCTCAGCATCAGCCACGGACGTCTGCAGAGTCTGGCACTGTGGACAAGGGCATTGGCCAGGCGGTCAGCAGTGCCCTGCCTTCAAGGCTTCTACACCTGTCCCCTCTCTTGGGCCAGCTTTTCTTGGGTTAAGATGTCAGGATTCTGTCTGTCCTTCTCACCACCTTCCCTGACTCTTATGCATTTTGTTCACTGCAGCCAGAGCCCACCAATGCCCCACTGCACTGGGAGGGTGGGACATTAGATAAAGAGGAGCAAAAACCAATGAAGAAGAGCCAAAAAACCTATGCACTGGGTGTCGTGACATGGTAACTAGGACACTGCCGAAAAGATCTGAGCATGTCTTGGGCAAAGAGCTTTGGATGCCCTACAGATAAGCTCTGGGTCTTCTGGCCTGATGCTTTAAGTTCGTGTCCACTATGAAGACCTTGGACTCCACCTGGAAGATGGTGACACCTACCTGCTTCTTCACGTTCTCAATCTCAGCCCGCAGCCTCTGGATCATCCTGTTGAGCTCTGCGATTTCAATCTTGGTGTTCTTCAGGTTGTCCCCATGTTGGTCAACTGAGATCTGGAGCTGCTGGACCTAATACCCAAAGAGATGCAGGGAACCAGGCATCAGAGGTGCTTGGGTGGGGTCCATTCTCAAGTGAACTCAGTTAGAACAGCCCCAAGTGGTAGGGATAACACAAATTGTCAAATAATCCCAAATCAGAACAGGATCAGCCATGCTTGGGAGAACTGGTTCATTTCTGGCCTCTCTTGGGCTTGAGCTGACAATTACCTGTTCATGGACATCCAAAGCAGACCCCCAAAGACACCTGCATCGCGTGAGAAATCCACACCACTCACCTTGATCTGGTACAGCCCCTCAGCCTCGGCCTTGCTCTTCTGGGCGATCTCCTCGTACTGGGCACGGACCTCGGCGATGATGCTGTCCAGGTCCAGGTTGCGGTTGTTGTCCATGGACAAGACCACAGATGTGTCACTGACATGGGTCTGCATCTGGGACAGCTCCTGCAAGGCAAGGATCTCACATCAGTCCCCGAGAAGAGCCTTCGCTGACGTCTGATGCCGGATATCTGCTGTTTTCATGGACATAGCCATGAGCCAGCCTTCCCAATATGTAGGGAGGGGAGAGAGGGGTAGGTTTCTAAGTAGAGATTCAAGTGGTCTGTGACATCTCAGGACAGAAAAGCAACGCTTCTAGTCTTTACTGGTCCCTGGGAACCATGAGCCACTCTATGTCTAATGTAGTGGGTGCTCACTAAGTTGTATAGAAGGGAATGGAATGGGCCCATTTCACCAGAAAAAGGCTACACAGCAATAAATTCCATCCCATGCAGTCTTTAGATCTAATCACCTCTTCTACATCAGCATCTGGTTTTAAGAACCTCCCAATTGAATTTCTCACTTCAAACCTTTCTATCCATGACCTTGCTAAGAACCTATTGCCTTGAAATAAGAGAGCCAGAGTCTGTCAAAGAACCGTGAATCCCAACCAGCAGCCTCATGGACGGGCACCCCCTTTCCCAGAATGGAAGGGTGGGTGGAGCCCTCACCGCATCGTAGAGGACCTTCAGGAAGTTGATCTCATCATTAAGACCATCCACCTTGGCCTCCAACTCCACCTTGGTCATGTAGGCAGCGTCCACGTCCTATAGAGGAGGAAGGAGAAAAGGAGCAGGAATTACAATGGGGACAGGGTGTTAAGTGACACCTAAAGGTGTTCTTAGCAGCATTTAGGAAAAATCACACAGCACCAGGCAAGGTGGTAAAGGGCCAATTATTTGACATATTCTGCCCCTAAAGCTACCAGAAGACATGGAAGTTAATTATCCAAATAGGCTTTCCTCCAAACCTTAATTCTTTAGAAACTGGTTCAGTTACCCACTTTTTTGACTGCATAGATATGGACAGTACCAGCTGAGGTGGGGATGAGGCAGAGATGGACCAAACCCATGATTTAAGCCAAAGACCACTCTGCAGAGAAGGGGTACCCTGAAGGTTCTCCCCACCACCCTTCATCTCGTACCTTCTTGAGGACCACAAAGTCATTCTCAGCCGCTGTGCGTTTGTTGATCTCTTCTTCATACCTAGGGACAGGGACAGGAAAGAAAAGGCAAAAGCTCACAGTGAGCTACTGTTTCTCAGGTCTCTGCTGCCTGTTTTCAAACATATTTAGAAATATCCAGGTAATTAACTCCATTTCACTTGTTCGTATATTCATTCAACCTGCATTTATTAAATAATTACTATATGTAAGGTACCAGTCTAGGCCCTGGTTTATTCAGACACATGAAAACCGAGCTTTGAAAAGACTGTTTTCAAGAGATGAGGTGTAAGGAGAAGAGCTAGCGATGATCTCCTGATTTTATGTCCATGGAAGGACTGTCCTTTGGGCCATTTTGGAAGATTAAATTCTCAGGAAGCTGCCAATACTCCAGTTCCCTTTGTTTGGTGTGTAAATGAATTGAGGGAGAGGGCTGGTATTTATTTTGTCAGTCCCATCCCATAGTGAGTGTAAGAGCTACTATGTATTGGGTGCTTGCCATACGTGCCACACAAGACTCCATGCTTTCTCTATCTCATTTAATGTCATTTAATTCTCACAACCCATAAGGTAGGAATATCATGCCCATTTTGAAGATGAAGAAAACTGAAGCTCAGAGAGGTTAAGTAACTTACCCAAGGTCACACAACTAGTAAGTGAGGAATCAGTATTCAAACCAGATCCATCTTTCTCTACAACATGTATTCTTCTGCCCATGCTATACTGCTTTTCATTTGTTTTATTTCTGATCTTGTTGGTATATGGCAAACCCAGATCCCTGGATCTATCACTAATTTTCTGATTGGGGCAACTTGTGGCACTAGACCTCACCCCATGAAAAGTGACTGTGGACGCAGAAAACAGACTAGAAGACCTTCCTGGTCCCCTAGATCTCTTCAGAGCCTGAGATTCTGAACCACTGGGGAGGAGCCCAGGGAGGCTGGGGCAGGGCTGGGCAGGTATGTCAGATGCTGTCCCTTCCTTCCTCCCCACGTACTTGGTCTTGAAGTCCTCTACGCTGTCCTGCATGGTCTTCAGCTCAGACTGCAGGCGCCCTTTGTCATTGGCAAAGGCATCCAGCTGCTGCCTGAGTGCACTGAGGTAGGTCTCAAAGAAGGGCTCAAGGTTTTTGCTGGACGTGGTGGTCGTTTGCTGCTGGAGGAGGTTCCATTTGGTCTCCAGGACCTTATTCTGTTGCTCTAAGAACCGCACCTGTATTGGAAAAGACAGGCACCAACCAACTAATGAGGACCTGAAGCTTTGGCAGGAGGGCCAGCCAAGGCCAACACCAACCCAGGCGATTCAAGGCCTAAGAGCCACCCAAGTACAGCCACCAGGGTGCAACTCCAGGGCATCATTCACTAGGACCAACATGGACCACGTGGGTTGTGGAGACAGAGCACAGCCAGCATGCCAGGACTGACAATGCAGCAAGAGCAACTGCCTAACCACAGGAATCTAAAGGCCCTGGCATGAGTTACTAAAGAATAACATCAAACTTCTATGAAATAATAAAACAAAATAAAATTAGGAGATGCCCCAGTCTGGAAGCTCTTGCATTCAAAGTGATCCTAACCCAAGGCAAAGGACAGATAAATTCCCTAAAGACTTTTAAAACAAGCTTCCTTATCAATGGGCCTGGGGTGTCCCTATGAACCTCTGCTCAAGTGAGATTAGCTATTTATGACCAAGGCCCTATACTATTCTGAGTCTCAGGTAGACTCCATTCTGCAAGAGACTTTCCTGAACTTTCCCTCCATAAAAAGTCTAGCCAGATAAACCAAGGTAGCAGCTTAGCATGACGGTACCACTTCATGTGCTTCGGAATTGAAAGGAAAGGAGGTGAGGGAGACTGATCACATTTTGAACACGAAAGGTGAAATGAGGTAAGATGTGACAAGGAAGCGCCGAAGAGCCAAGGTCTTGCTGTCATATCTGAATGTCCTATAGTTGCAATAAAGCCTCTTGAAGCTACTATGGCTTTATTCAAACTAGCAAGAAGAGCAAATATGCCCCCTCAATCTACTCCAAGGTTGTTCATTCTTGCCCCATACATCCAAGGGGCCAGCCAGGGCCTCCTGGACCAAAAGGCTACACCCACCTGTCCAGTCATTAATCTTTGGATAACTCAGCTCTCTGGGGCTGAACTGCTCACCATCATCCATCACACTTGACTTTAATTGAGCTCAAAGGACTTGAAACTCTAGACCTTGCATGATAAAGGAAGTTGGACTACAAAAGGAAAAGTGAGACCCATCTCCTCCTCTCAAACAGACCCAGAAATGAGCAGTTTTGCCCAAAGTCAAGGGAATGAACAGGGAAGCTCCCAAGGTCCTGGAGAGACCTAGAACCTGTCATGAGAATCAGTCCCTTTTTCATTTGCAAAATCAGCTTGGTTCTCTTCTGCTCGGAGGACAGAAGTGCCAATAGCTACATTATTCACGGAGTTAACTGCGTTATTTCCAATGCCAAAATCTGAGAAAAAGCAGAGAAATAATGAACCTGCTTTATAGCTGGGGTGACTAGAGCCAGAAAAGCCAAATGACTTGCCCAGTACCACACAGCACATCTAGGGAAGTCCAGACATTTAACTGCCTTGAGTATCCTGTCTTCCCATAAGCCAGGGGACAAAAGAGAAAGACTCAGAGTGGTGGTTCCCCTTCAGTTCCCTTTCAGCTGAAAGATTGAGGCCCAGAGAAGTTCAGTGGTTTTCCCAACGCCTGTGGCAGGCTCAGGTCTGAGATCCCTGGGCTCGGGCACCCTGGCTTCTACCACTGTCTCTGGCCAAGGACACAGCTCACCTTGTCAATGAAGGAGGCGAACTTGTTGTTCAGGATCTTGATCTGCTCACGTTCCTCAGTCCGGACTTTCTGGATTTCAGGGTCGATCTCCACGTGGAGTGGGGTCAGCAGGCTCTGGTTGATGGTGACCTCTTGGATCCCCCCAGCAGGGCAGACGGGGAAGCCAGAACCACCCCGGCCACCGAAGGAGCCCCCAAATCCACCGCCAAAGCTGCCAGTGCCAAAACCAGCACCAAAGCCACCAGCACCAAAGCCTCCAGCACCAAAGCCGCCAGCGCCGAAGCCTCCAGCACCCCCAAAGCAGGTGCCTTGTCGGGACCCAGCCACGCTCATGGAAATGCTCTTGTTCCCTCCAAGGTTGTAGAGGCTCCTGCTGCCAAAGCCCCCAGAAGAGCAGCGGCCTGCACCCCCAGACACGGAGACCGAGCTGAAGGCAGCCCTCTTGCCTCCACCTACAACGGCAGAGCCACAGCTGAAGCCCCGGGACCCGCCTCGGACACCTTGCTGTCTGGCAATCATGGCTGCAGAGAGGAGAGTGAGCTTGGAGCTGTCAGAGAGAAGCGAAGGGGCAGGTCAGTGAATGCTGGAGCCCTCAGTCTGGGTCTCTTATATGTGCTGGAGCAGCAGGGCTTGGTTGCAGGGGCATAAAGGGAAAAATCTAAAACATCCCTGGGCTTGGCTTTTGGCACAGGCCCATGCTTCTCGCACCTGCTGAGCATGTCACTAAACACACCTACAGAAGTCATTCAGAGGGCACGGGTTATGGGAGCCCATCACACTCCCCTCTAGAAGAACCTGAACCAGCGCCCCAGGGCCTCCTCCTGGATCAGAGCCCCTGCCTGGGCCCAGCCCTCCAGGCCCCCACCCACTGCCGCTCCATGTCACCAGCCTCAGTGCAGCTCCCTGTGCCAGACAAGACACCACATTGCCCATTCTGTCACACAGCAGAATTCTGGGTTCAAGTGCACAGCTACTAAGAACCTGTCAGGCGTGGAGCCAGGTACTGAGTAGACAGAGGTGAGGGGGAGAAAAACCCTCCCCTAAGAAAATCCCAGCTCCCTACCTCAACCCTCGGGACTCAGGCCTGCATCCCTTCCAAGCTTGCAGGACTCTAGATACACGCTGTCCAGCGGGCCCCGACTGCGCTCTCTGCTGCTCTGTTTGTTTTCGGATGTTTGCTTGGCACTCCTGGAAGAAAGCATGTTCTGTTTTTCCATAACGGTCCCAGCATTCAGGGCAGGAGCTTATAAACTTTGTGGGGACTGCTGGGGACCCCTTTGAAAAAATGATGAAACCTATGTGTTCTTTCTCAGAATGATGTTTTTTAAATGCAAAATACTAGTTTTAACCCCTAACTTAAATTCTTCCCCACTGAGTGCAACAGATCTGTGTTCAAATCCCACCCATTGCCACTAACTAGCTGTGTAGCCTTGGGCAGATCGCCTAACCCCTCTGAACCCATCCAACCCATCTTCTCATCTATAAAATGGGACATGTTCCCCACAGATACTAGATGATTTGCCCAAGGTGCCGGCACATGGGAGGCCGACAGGCATTCATTCTCCTCCTGCCCGGGCTTTGCTGTTGCCGCTGATGTGAGGAGAAGTTCAGTGGATCTGTGTTCTCCCTCCTCCCCTCCATCCCTCATGGAGGAAATGACCCCAAATCACAGCGCTGGATGGTTCCCACGGGCCCCTGCCCGAACAATGGCAGACCAGGACAAAAGTCAATGGCTCCCTCATGCAAAGGCAGAGGGCAGAGGCAGTGCTGAGGACAGAGTGGCCAGCCCCAGGGACAAGGCTGCACAGAAGCCAGACTGGCCGGGAGCTCAGCCAGCTCCTCCTCCCTCCCTACCTCCTCTCTGCTCCCCTTTTCCCCAATCCCTCCCGCCCCCACCTCCGATCTGCCTCTGCCCAGGCGGCCTCTAAGTAAGTGGAGAGGGCTGCAGGGGCTGTGGCCATAAGGACCAGAGGCCCTGGGCCACATCAAGGAGAATGCCCGAGTGGTGGGTCAGTCTACCTGTGTCCAGCAGTTTGGAGCCAGGACCGCCTCCTACAAGGGAAGGGATTGGACTTTCACTCGTCCTCTCAGCCAGTATCCCCTGAGCACCAGCTCCGTGCCAGGCGCTGTGCTGATGCTTCATGCACTTGATCAACTAACCTTCTCAAAGGCTCCATGCAGTCAACACCATGAGCCTTGCTTGCAGAGGGTGGCCTGGGGGCTCAGAGGGGCAGAGTAGCTCCCAGGGTCACACAGCAGCATGTGGTAGAGCCAGGACTCAAACCCACGTCAGTCTGGTCCCAAAGGCTCTGCACTCTACAGCCTTCCCCACACCGTGCTGCTTGGCGTGAAGTCAGTAGGTCTAATTTGTGCAGCAGCCTGTCCGGAGCTGGGAGCCTGAACGAACCTGATGGAACCCACTGCTCCAAAGGGGCTCTGGATCTGCCACGTTCCACCCTGGCCCCTAGGAGTGGGCACGGCTGGGAAGGAAAGGGGGAGCTGCTCCAGGTCTCTGGGGGCTGCGGACCTGGGAGCCACCGGTTAGGGGAGCTGAGGTTCCATTATCTGGTTTCCTGCCCAGAGAGGAGGTGGGAGGGCAGCCAGGTCTCACCTGAGTGAGGGCTCACGGCTCAGACCCCCGGCTGCTTCGCCTTGGTCTCTGCACCTCCCAGTCAGTGCTTCATTCTCTGCTGGCCCCTGAGAGTTTGATGGGGACTTTCATGGGCTAGCATGGGGGTGGCATCAGCAGAGATGAAGCCCCAAGATGGCTCACCACATGTCTGTCGAGTCTCTTACTCTGTGGCTGGAACACTCCAATACCAGGAGAAAATGATGCAGGGGTGTTGTAGCTAGAGTTGCGTCCAGTGCCTGAGACACAAATGGGTGGAGGGGGTTTGGGGAAATGGGGAAATAATAAATAATATGCAGTCAGTCTTAGTGTGTGCCTGCAAACCATGGCGCCATGATTCAGGTACTGGCAACTCGAAGCATATGGCAGCCCTGAGGCAACACATAAGATGGGGAAAAGGTGGTGCTGCCCATCGGGTAGAAGGGCCTCGCACTTAGAACTGCTGTCATGTGCTGAACACTGGGTGCTTTTCTTATGACGGTTCCATTCCTCACCATAAAACTGCCAAAGAAGGATTTCTATGCTCAGTTTGGAGCTGCAGACACTGAGGCTCAGAGAGGTTATGTAACTTGCCTGAGATCACACAGCTAGGAAGTGGTATATGTGGGAAGGCAGTCCTAGCTGTCTGACTTGTGACCTTAATCTCTACTACAATGTTTTATACGGGTGACTCTGCCCCACACAAAATCTGCAGGAAAAAAAAATACAGCCAATTACACGGTAGCTTACAGCCCCCCAGAGCAGGACGGGGTCTCGGCCAGCGTGCCGTGCGCTCTGCAGACACGGCTCAGCTCCTCTCTGTCCTTACTCTTGTCACATGACTGGGTGCTTGGTTTACGTGGCCCTGTCTTTACAAGTACCCAACAAGGTCTGACACTGTCCTGAGGGGCCAATTCTATGTCCTCCAATTAACTAAATCCAAATTAATTTAATTACAAATCCCATGACAAACCCAAACCAAACAGGAAGAAAGTTCTAGTCTAAGGCCATATCCTGTGTCCTTATTATTAAATTAGAATTGCCAGAAGCTCATAAAATTCTCAAACCGTAACATGAGAAACTGAAGGTAGACATGAGGAAGAACTTCTTATGGAAAGTGCTTTTCCGCCCTAGAGTGAGAGAGGTAGAGAGAAGTGTTTCCCTGAAAATGGGAAAGATGTCCCCTGGGCCAGAGTCAGGTGACTGAGCAAGGTGCCTCTACCTGGCAGCAGCAGCTAAACGCTGGTCCCCCACTCCCCACCCCCGGCACACACCCCCTGCCCAGACCCCCGGCACACACACAGCTTTTGCTACTGCCCTCTGTGACCCTTTGGCAGCCGTTCCCGTCTTGTCACAGAGGGATGAGCAGCTGACAGGGGCGTGGATCTGCGCTGAGACTGTGTGTTTGCTTAGGGCTTTCTGGGTGGGGGAGGCAAGCCTCGCATTCAGCCCCGGGATTACGGGATCCTGAGGGCTTCTGCTGCTCTCAGCCCCAACCCTGCCGAGTGGTGCGGGAAGGCGCTCCCGCCCTCCCTGGCCATGCCGGTGCCCTCCCCTTATTGGGTCAACCTCGATGGCCCCACCGGGCCTGAGTCACTCTGAGAGAGCCAGAGCCAGCATGGGGATCAGAGATTGTGCAGAAAAGGGCTGTCAGCATTTCAGGAAGCGGTCAGGGAGGGCGATGGAGTATGGGGACTCCTGGGAACTAGGCGTGGGGGTCTGTGCCCGGGGCTTCCTCTTTCCCAGGGCCAGAGAGCAGCCTCTCCTGGGCCCCTGTGGTGGGCGTGTGCAAGCAGGGGCTTCCCGGTGTGTTCTGGCAGCAAGAACATCCTTGCAAACAAAGCCACTGTGCAGCTCCGTGTGCGAAACAGACAAGGAGAGACGCTCCGGTTGGCGGTTGGCGCTGAGGAGGGGCCATGAGCCTTCTCTCCTGCTGACGCCCCCTGAAAGCAGCCCCTGGGGTCCTCAGGCTCCAGGGACTCCGTGTGGAAACCCCTGGGTCGGGGCCGTTCCCATCCTTCAGTGACTATTTCTGAGCAACACGTTGTTAGTGGCTCCTCCTGGACTGTGATTGAATCTCTGAGCTTTATTGCATGACAATTGAAACTGTCTCTATTGTTCAGTTTTTAAGCTTTAAATATAATTTCAATGAAACTATTTTTTTTTTACTCTGCCATTAGTTCACTGTGGCTTTTGGACAAGTTCTTCCCCTCTCTGAGCCCCCCACTGTGAAGGTCACAGGCAAAGTAATGTACTTGTAAACCACAGCATCCAATTAAGTGTGAGATTTTATTAATGATGGGATGTGGGGGCTGAGAGAGAAATCGCCTGACTCCAAGAGGATGAGCTGGGAATCCGGAGCAGGGGAAGGGAAGCAAAGGGTACCGATTCTTGTGAGGCCGCCATAAGCCAGATGCTTTACTCACGTTTTTATCACAACTCTGCTTTTACAGAGGAGGGCACTGAGGCTCAGAGACGTTAAGTAACTTGCCCAAGGTCACACAGCTAGTAAGTGGCAGAACTGGGATTTAAACCCAAGTCTGCCTAGTTCCAGAGCCTCAGATCTCTCCACTGAGCAAGTCATGCTGCCTGCCCCCCAGAGTGTGGGGGGGGAGCTAAATAGGCGCCAGGGGGTGGGCTGGGTAGTAGGCAGCCACTCAGAGCTGGGCCCTGCCTGCAGCAGCTTCCATATTCCCTCTGAGCCTCAGTCTTCTGGGAACTCTGCAGGAGCACTGGAGTGGGAATGGTACTGAGCTACCTGCTCAAGCTGGCGTGGTGACTGGGACAGTGTGTTTGCTATTGTTGCCTCAACCTTCGGGGCATGAATCGACTGACACAATTTCAGTTCCAGGCAGGACAGACTGCAGCCACAGACAGCTGGCTGTAGTTGCCGTTTATTGATTGAGACACATCACAGGCACAGACAGGGCCGGAGGATGTGGGTAGATTCAGGGAGGGGTAGGTCTGGTGGG